AACGAAAAACAATGAAGAACTCGAAGGAAAGGAAGAAGATGGATGGCAAAAGTAGAGGGACTCTGGCCTCAGGGTTTGTTTTTGTTTGAAAGCCCAAAAATTGGGCGGGACTGTTCAAAAAACACAAAGTACGAAGACGGCGTGACAGCCGTCCTCAGTCAATCAGAGCGTGCCACGTGTGATTAGAATAGGAAGCGTTACAGTCGCTGTCATTGAAGAGATGTTTTGACCGGACAAGTAGAGCCCGGAGTGAAATTAGCTCGGCTGGAAAGGCTAAAGGGTTTTTTTTTAGCTCGGCTGGAAAGGCTTAAAAATTTCAGCTCGGCTGACAAACAGGTAATCCCTATCATGCTGTGCAGATGAAATTAAGGGGCAATTGAGAGGGTAATTTATGTGAAAATTGGGCCGAGCTAGGTGATGGGCCGTTATGAGCCACAGTGTAAAGGGCCGAAGTGAAATGGCCATGTAAGATACTCCGGTCGTGCGATATTTTGGAGTTAGTCCGGTCCTAAGGACGTGAAGCTAGACCGGTCCAGTAGAAGATCGAAGTTAGATCGGTCTAAAGGTTCCTTGGAATTAGACCGGTCTCGAAATATTAGTTCGGTCTGACCACGCCTTGGGTTGTGCATAAGGAGCCGCTGTAAGGGCGATAAAAGGAAGAGTTAGTTCGGCTTACTCTTCGACTGTACATAAACATATTTACTTCGGTCATATTGGAGTTCGGCCATGATAAAACCATCTCACTTGGTTTAAGCAGTGAGGGGGTGTTAAAGGATAAGCATTATCCTTCAGGAATATGAATCCTAGGAGGACTCTGCATGGAGGAATAGAAGTCCTACTAGGATTGTGCCACACGAAACCTATGAAAGCTCACAAACATCACCTTTGGAGGGGTAACACACAACTTTGCTTTTTGAATACACGGAGCTTTTGTCTATTTGTCAAGCTTACTGACTTAGACATTGGAGAGGTTTCCGGCACACACCCACCGGCTAGCTCACGTTTGTGTTTTCAGGTGATAAAGCGACGACGTACGGAGGAGAGTAGACTTGGTCAACAGGATTATACGAGAATGTTTATTTCTTTCCCGTACAACAATAATAAAATTATCTAAATTATTAATTTAAATAAAATTTTAACATTATTGAAAATTGTTAATTAACTTGATGATTTATTAACAAAATGACCTACAACCTTAGGGGGCATAATATAATTTTTAAAACCACATAAGGTAATTTATAATTTAAATAAACTTCAGAGGATGTGTTTGTAATTTACTCTAATAACTTCCTTCTTTATTTATAAGGTAAATTACAAATACACTCTCTGATATTTATTTAAAATATGAATTGCCCCCTGTAATTTAGAAAATTACAAATATCTCCCTATTAGAATTTTTTATTTAACAGAATTAATTGAAAAACTGAAATTTCTAATTGTTTACTTGTACAATAATAAAATTATCTGAATTATTAATTGAAATAAAATTTTAATATTATTAAAAACTGTTAATCAACTTGATGATTGATTAATAAAACAACCTATTTGTTATGAAAATAGAAACCTTAGGAGGGTATAATGTAATTTCTAAAACTACAGAAAATAATTTGTAATTTAAATAAATCTCAGAGAGAGTGTTTGTAATTTATACTTATTTATATTCTTTTCATAAAATTTCTTAATTTAAACCAGAAGTAAAATTTAAGAATCAGTATCATATTAGATAAGGTCAAAAAATTAAGATTCAAGTCTGTTTATAATTAAAGGGTTGTTTGAGATAATTTAAATAAATATATTTTTTTAATCTTTTACAAAACAGTGTAAAAAAAAAATAGAGAAGTAAATAATATCTAAGCTAGACATACTTTTTTCTTGATGAACCGACCTAAGAGCATTCACACCAATCTCTTTAAATTTTTAGTAAAATTATAACTTAAAAAGTCATTTTTTTATTTTAGTTAATTACCCCACTGTATCAAACTCTCTATTCTAACTCAATTTTATTAAAATATTTGTTATTCTTTTTTTTTAATTAAATTGATGAGCTGCTAGCCAAATAATTCTTATGTTTTTTTGTAAAGGTAAAACCAAAAAAATTGTAAATAATAATAAAAAAAATGCCAATTTATCGGCTAGACATCTGGCAACACACAAATAGTGATAAATAGTACCTTGTTGTAGCGAAATACTATAGTAAACACAAATTTTAATAAGTTACAAGTAAAACTGATGGAGGTGATTTTTTAAAATTTATACCGTTAATTTAGCTAAGAAACAATTTTAACAATAGTGATGCTCTAATACTAAAAATCTTACATACTTCTGCATGATGGTTTATGGCACTTGTTGGCTTTTTGGCTAATTTAGTAACTTTTTGGCTAATTGACTAAAAAAGTAAGTCCCCAAACGAGGCCTAAGTTACAAGTAAAACTGATGGACGTGATTTTTTAAAATTTATACCGTTAATTTAGCTAAGAAACAATTTTAACAATAGTGATGCTCTAATACTAAAAATCTTACATACTTCTGCATGATGGTTTATGGCACTTCGCTCAACGGACAAAGATTCAAATTAAATTTGAACATTTTTCGTTTTTTAGAAAATATATATGTTTTTTCTATTAGAGTCCAGACGTGAACTGGATTAAGGATCCGTTTGGGATATAGGTTAATTTTTTGATTTTTTAATTTTTTGACTATTTTAATTTGAAACTAAAAAAGTTTGTTTTGGATAAATTTTTTGGCTTTTTAAATTTTTGTAAGAGAAAAAAATAAAATGATTATGGATTAGATGTGATATTTTGTTTTATTTAACTAAAATAATCTATTTTATCTTATATAGCTATTTTAACCCAATCTAACAAGTAAACTATTATGTTTTTATTCTTGGCAATCATGTTTGACAAAACTCATTTCAGTTGTATTTGTTTTTGCACTTTTATTTCAGTGAGGCTATGAGTTTATTAGATGCAAATCCAACCCGAATTGTGCCTTGCAGAGAAGTTTGTGATGTTAATGCTTTCAAGATTGTCACTTTACTGATTATGACGGGGGTCGAGCTGCCTGGTCAGCTTGCGGCCGAAGCAAAATGCAAAAATGCATTCAAAGTTGCTTGTCCGCTCGAGCGTCCGTTTCCCCGCTCGAGCGGAGAATGCTAAGTTCTAGAAGTTTGGTGAGTCTACAAAAATACTGTGATCCGTGTTTTCACGCTCGAATGTCAAAATCCCCGCTCGAGCGTACATCCTGTTTGGAGCATTTCATATAGTGTCCCCGCTCGAGCGTCAATTCTCACGCTTGAGCGGATCTCGTGATTTTAGATTCTATAAATTCGCAAGTTGCTCCAAATCTAAGATAACTTCTCCAGGTCTTCTTCTTGGGTTCTAGGGTTTATATCTGGGAATATTTTGCTAGTTTTCTTTGATATTTTATTGAGTATTCAACTCATGGTTTAAGAAACATACATCAAAGGATTGCTTGTTCATTCTATACAAAAGAGAAAGTTGTTCTTCGGTGGATTCTGAAGAATTTGAGCCTGAAGCTTTGGTGGATTCTGGAGTGGCTCATCGTCAAGACAATTCCGAGGTTAAGACAGGGTTGGAAGAGGCACATAAGGGTTGGTTCAATTCGAGCATGGATTCGCTAGGTAATTGAGAGTATACCTGTGTAATTCCTTTATATCTGCTTAGTGGATTGTTTTGTGATTGTTGCCCGTGATTTTTTATCATAGTTGAAGGTACTCCAATTGTGATTTTTCCACGTTAAAATCGTTGTGTCGATTTGTCTTGATTGTTTGATTGAGATTGTTACATACTGTTTAAAATTGATACATAATCACAAATCAACATCTAGGGAATTTCTAGATTTTTCATAAACGAACTGGGTAAGAGTCTCATTTATAGTCTTATTCAGCCCTATCTGTCCCACTTCGAGGTATGGGTTCAACTCCAAGCCTAATGAATCCTTAATCCTAAGCGTATCTTTATTAGTAGTATTATGAGTAAATTACAAACACACCTTCTGATGTTTACTTAAATTATAAATTATTTCTTGTGATTTTAAAAATTACATTATGCCCCTTAAGGTTTCTGATTTCATAATAAATAAGTTTTTTTATTAATAAATCATCAAGGTAATTAATAATTTTTAATAATATTAAAATTTTATTTCAATTAATAATTCAGATAATTTTATTATTATATAGGCGAACAGTTAGAAATTTCACTTTTTCAATTAATTTTGTTAAATAAAAAATTTGGGCACGGAGGTATTTATAATTTTCCAAACCACAAGAAATAATTCGTATTTTAAGCAAAGCTCATGAGGTATAGTTTTAATTTGCCCTAGTATTATATTAAATCCTAAGAATCTCTCTCTTATGTTATTTCTAATGCAAACTTATATCTTTTACTAAATTTAAATTTAATAAAATTTAGTAAAAATAGTATTTCAATTGTTTTATCAAATTGATATTAAATAAAAAGAGAAATATATTTTTTTATCAAATTAAGACAACATCTAACTTTTTATCAAATTTTGTAAATAGTTATTGGTGGACAACTAGTTGGACTACTGGATTTTAGCCTTGTAAACAGAAAATTTACTTTAAATCGGATGACCCACTGAATTTAGTAAAAATCTTAATTCAGAATTGAAATGCATTGTATCATTAAATTTTTTATTAAATTTAATAATAAATTTGACGATGGATTAAAGACGTTATTAATATATTATATTTTTCGATAGTATTATATGTATTAATTAATATATTAATTATATTAATTATTATTGACCATACTTATATATAAATTACAAATACTAAAAATCTTTTAAATTATATCACATTATCAATTAATACATTAATTAATATATTCATAAATACATATAACATTATTGTATATTTTTTGAATGCTATTCACAAAATCTTTGGCCTATCCTTTCAAGAGCTTCCAGTTGCCTACGTGGCCGACACTATCGAGAAACATATGGCATTTGATATCATCATTCATTCACTTCAGCAAAGCAGTGGCATTTCCGCAATTCCAGCGGAGGGAGGGAGACCTCTGTATTCTCTCTCTTCCTACTTAATTACTTACAACAGTGTTCTGGTTCAGAAAACAGAGAGCCCAATCTCGTACTTCTCTAACAAAATCTTCTTCGTTTATGTATGTATATATTTCATTATTGATGATTTGGTTTCTCTATGATTTACAGTCTCAAATTCAAACAGCTGTGCTTTGATCCCAAATATGATTTATCTTTTTGATTTTGAGCTTCAATTGAGAAATTTATATCCTTTTCTTTTACCTTTTTCATTGCAGGAGTGAGTGATTCTGTTATCCAGTGCTGATGATGACGATGGCAGCTAAATGTGATTCTTCCACAACATTTCCATTATTTGCTTTCCGAAAGTTCATCACTCCGAGGTAATTCATTTTCTTTTCTTCAATTGAATTCTCATGTCATGTTGTTGGTTTTGAGGTTTCTTCTTTGTGTGTGTGTGTGTGTTTTTTTTTTGCCTAACTGATGACAACCACAGTGTATATTTGATCTCCTATTCAAGTAGGGGATGGTGCTTCTAAATAGATGTTTAATCATAAATGTGGTCATGTTTATAAATTACAAGAAGCACTTTCCCTGGAGAGCATTATTATAGACTTTTTAATTTTTAATTAGTAGGCTTTGTTTGGTATTCTGTTGGCTTTGCGGCCAACTGCCCTGCAAAAATAAAACAAAACAAAATAAAATACTTCTCATCAATGCCAAATAAAAACATGCAACTTATGTTGAGTTTGTTGAGGGGAGGGTGGTTTGGGGGCTTTGTCCCCAAGGTGAATTGCACCAAGGGTATTAAGTAATTCGTTGATGTTAAACCCTAGGATATATAATAATGTCGTCTTCGTAGAAACTATATTGTACGCTTCTTTTCTTTTAGAATAATGGAATTTGTGTGAGATGTGGACGTACGCAATCTTGTTGAACAACATAAAATCTGTGTTGTGTTTTCTTGTTTTTGATTGATTCTTCTTGCTATTGTTTGTGTGTGTGATTTATTCCACAGCAAGTTCTCTTTTTGTCAAATGTTGGGGATTCTAGCAAATTTCCATTAGTTTCATTTCACTTTTTTTTTGTGTGTGGGCCTTAAAGTCAATTTTGTTCCAGGAGGAAAATCAGTTTTCTCATAGTAAATAAAGCAGAGTCATCATTTTCAAATGTCAAAAGAGCAAACTTAGCTGCAAGAAAGAAGGACAGAGTGAAGCTTCCAAATTATAATGATGGTGGTGGGGGCAAGAGGATATATCATATCAGTGAATTTCTGAGCCACCCATCTGGGATTGAAGCAATCTTGAACACCAGTGCCTTGCAGAGTTTTCAGTTCCTTGACGCTAATCTGTACAGGTGTAGTTTATTGCTTACAGTTTCCTTTCTTCAGTTGTTGTTTATGAACATCAATCCTCATATGAAGCCTAGCAGAATGGCAAAAAATGATTCATGTAACCAACCTCACCTGAGTGGGACACAAGGGTTACTTTGGTTCGGTTTGGTGCGTTATTCAATTGATGACAAATTTTACCTAGGCATTCCAATGAATGAAATTCCTCCTTTTGTTTTTTATTCATCATGCAGGATATGCATTCGAGGCAGATTTTTTTAAACAAAAGTTCCTTTAGAGTGCAGGGAAAAAAAAGCTTATGTAGTTTTTTTAGTTCAAAAATCAATATGATTGGAATCTTTTAATTCAATAGATATACCAGATTTTTACGCAAGAAATTTAGCAATGAAAATATGCTGATAAACAGAAAGCAATCACACACACACAGATATATTTAACTTTGAACCCAAATTGGGAGTCATCTTTGGTGTGGGGAGGGGAAGTTAGAGGTGTCCTTTCAGTTGTAAGTAGTATGAGGTGGAGGAGCTGCTGCACCTGCTTGGTTTGCTCCATGTTATGTCGAATGTTGGTGGTTCATGGCTAGATCCCAAGGCTGCATTTTTTTTGTTTTTTTTTTGTGTGTGTGGATGGTGGTTCATGGCTATAACCAACCATTGGCAACCTTAGTATGAGGTGGCATAGTCATGTGAACTGGTGCATGTGTAAGAAAAGACGGGAATCAGTCGATTCCCTCCTTATTCATTGTTTAGTGGCTAGAGATCTATGATCTTTGATTCTATGTATGTTTGAAGTAGTGTGGGTGTTCCTGAGGACTATGTTGGATATGTTTTCCTCCCTTTCCATTTCTTTTCCTTTTTGTTTTTGCTATTTCTATATATTGCCTTGACAAAATTAATCATGCTCATGTACAAGTTTGCTATGTTCTTATATATACACACATGTATATGCTTGTTCATGTTAATTTTTGCACCTATGTTTCTTGTCTATAGCTTGTCATTGTTCTTGCATATATTGTCAGTAAAAGAAGAAAGAAAAAAAAGATGGAAGCAATTGTCCCGCACTTTCTGAATGGTATTCTAAACAGGTGTACCTTGCCAAGAGTTCAACTTCTGAACTTTGAAGTGGCCCCAGTGCTGGACTTACGCGTGACCCCAACAGATGAAGATTGTACAGTTGAGATGTTGTCGTGCAAGGTGAGCTTCAATTTTAATTTGAACATCAGGGAGGAGGTTTTTTTCTCCTTTCTTTCTTTCTTTCTTTCTTTCTTTTCCTTTGTTGTTTCGTTTCTTTCTTTCTTTTCTTTATTCTAATTTCAAGGAGGGATGTTAGAGCTGGAGAAAGAGAGAAAAGCTTTCTTATATCATTTGTGCATAGAGATTCTGGATTCTAGTTTCTATGAGTACTAGAAAATTACAATTTATTCCTTATATATTATTTAGGGTGAAAACAGTGGGGCTTGGATTTTATGTTGACAAATTTATAATAGAAAACAAATTGAGTATTAAACATGTTACCATCGAGAGGACTGAGGAATTTATCCGGTTATTTATGTGTTCTGAACATGGTTGCAGTTTGTGGGTTCAGAAGTCTTGGAACGCCAGAACGAACATTTTTCAGGTAAATTTTAAGGCTGAGTCGAAATCCTTTAATTTTCCTGGTTTGCATCACTATTTAACAATGATCGCACAAGGTGAGTGAAGGTTATAGTTGGCTTCATCTCTATCTTGTTCCATAGGCTGAGATTTGGAAATTGAGAACTATATAAACTTATCCCACACTCATGAACTATTGAGAGCTTCATTGACAGAGGACCCCCAATGTTTTCATTACCCAATCCTAAATAGATTTATCCAGTGCTCAATTCGGTTCTCATGACAGGAATTGTTTTAAGCTTTTCCATTGCTAGGTACCCTAGGGACATCATCATAGTCTTTTTATGAGCATCGAATTCATTGTGCATGTTGTTTCAAGCAATAGATTTTAGCGATGAATGGTTAAATTTAGCTTACATGCTCTAAGAAATTTGCATTTGATTCTTTGCTTTTAACATGCAGCATCAATGAGAAATCGCATAACATGGGACCCAAATGACACTGAACCGTTTTTGGATGTTGATGTAAAGTTGAATCTCACTCTTGAGGTTGTTACTCTCCTTCTAGTATTTGTAAAGATATTTACTCAGTATATATTTACTTAGTATGCATTTAAATCATCTTAAGTCTGGCAGGTCCACCCAACACAGTCCATTAATTTAACATTTTCTTAATAAAATCAACCTTTTTCAGTTGAATCGGCTTGTTCAAAGTTTCGAGGATCTTCTAATCAACCCATTTCTTTTACAAAAACTTTAAATAATGCATCAACCTATATCAATGAATTTGAGGTCAGATTTTTATCAAGACATAAGCAAGTTTGAGACGTGCATAACACTACAAATAGATTATGTTTTTCCCATGTTTTCTTTAAGAGTTGTTTTGCTCGTTTTCCATTGCATGTATCCCTATGTGAGAATAGTTTATCGTTCTTGCAATTTCACTTTCATCTTAGTTTGAGCTCATTACTGAACATTAGATCTTGTTCATTACAATTAATGGTGTGTTGATTATATAACTGACATCATCCATTATACACAGATTTACACACAGCCATTTACTATGCTGCCAATATCTGCTGTTGAGGGCCCCGGGAATTTGTGAGTAATTAACTATTTAATATTTACTGCCAATTACTTACTCAAAATAAAGCCAATAATATATTTATAAGCTGTACCTTATTATGGGGCACCTTGTTGTATGTTATATGGGTGTATATCTAGTCTATGATATTAAGCCAACGGCCCATGTAACTGATAGTTATGGCTTTTTTTCCTTTTTCTTTTTTTGGATCAGCATCAAATATATATATATATATATATATTATTAGAAAAGAAGAAAACTATGATGTTCTCTTTTGATTATGTATAACTAACCTCATACTGGAAGGCACTTCTCTTGATATTTCAGCTAGGAAGTACGGATACGGATACGGGTACAATACGATACGGATACGGTGATACGGCAAAATGTGAAAAATTAGGATACGGGTACAACTGAGATACGTTCATAAAAAATATTATTTTTATAATTTTTATTAATGTAGTATGTATACAAATAAAACCTAAAGCAAAAGAGTCCACCAGAAAGTAACTTTCAAAGTGCGAAATCAAGATGATCTATTCTTTTAACAAATTGAGAGGAATTAAAAATGTAATTCTAGGAATTGATTGAAACCCTTTCACAAACACTGTTCAGCCCTCTAAACAAACACCTTGCATGCAAAAACCTTCCCCATTACAAAGACTAGAAAAATCAACATGCTTGGCTGAGACACGACAAAAACCAAAAAATAAAAAACAAAATCTAAAAAATCCATTAAGAAAACAGGTTCTTCTTTACCAATCAATTTATAACCATAAACAAAACCCTAGCATTTATTTATATACAACTTTAAACCATTGTATGTGTGTAACAGAATTTTATAATACCAAATTGTAGCATTCATTAGGGTTCAATCAAACAGGGAAAAAAATCACTAACAACATTATAATATGCCTCCATTTTCAAAAATCAAAGCAGGGAGAGAGAGAGAGAGAGAGATCAAGCGAGAGAGAGAGAGAGTGAGATCGAGCGACAGAGAGAGAATGAGAGTGAGAGTGACAAACCTTGATCGACGAGGAGGATGAGGACGGCGATGGCGACTTGCTGCTGTTTGCAATTCAGAGACGACGACTCTCTTGCTGCTGTTCGACGACTCTCTTGCTGCTGTTCGATGACTCCTCTAGGTAGGGTTAGAGAGAGAGAGAGAGAGATCAAGCGAGAGAGAGAGAGAGTGAGATCGAGCGACAGAGAGAGAATGAGAGTGAGAGTGACAAACCTTGATCGACGAGGAGGATGAGGACGGCGATGGCGACTTGCTGCTGTTTGCAATTCAGAGACGACGACTCGCTTGCTGCTGTTCGATGACTCCTCTAGGTAGGATTTGTTTGATTTTTTTGTTTTATTTTAGATATAGTTTTGTTATTTTACACTTTGACCTCAATTATAAGTTTCAAAATTATTTTTTCACCCCGCCGTATCCCGAAAGTATCCCAAGTGTATCCAAGTTTCAAAATTTTTTTTCCCCCCCGCCGTATCCTGAAAGTATCCCAAGCGTATCCTTGAAGTATCATCGCGTATCCTAAACGTATCGGAAATTCAAAAAATTAAAAAAAAAAATGGGATACTTCTTTGCCGTATCTGATACGTATCCCGCCATATTGGATGCCTATTTGTATTCAATACGCGTACGGGGGCTGTTTCGGAGTATCCGTGCTTCCTAGTATTTCAAAAAGTTCACATTTAACCACGTCGGGTTCAATAGCCCTACGTTAACATTGTGAGCCTGCTTTCGCACAGAGTAACAATCCTATACCATGGCACAAGGCATCACTTGCACAGTTTTGCTATGAGCATAGAAACCAACCACACATAATAGAACACATAATACACAAATGGATAATATTTTACAAAATTTGTTCCAGAAAATCTTATCCATTCATATACATTATGTCTGGTTTTGCGACTAGGTTCTGTGTTTCTAGACTTATTCTATAATCTTTGAAATCTTCCTGTTCCACTAGCTGCAACTTTTCTTGAACTTATATCACTCTGTGAAGCAACTACGAGCACCCTATTCTGACAGCTACTTATGTGGCATACAGAATGATGCAAACTCTACTGGACAGGCTTGTACCATTACTCGTGCAACAATTACTACAAGATTATAGTAAATGGGTTCAACAACAGAGTCGATACTTGCAATGAAATTGGTCCCAAATATTGCTGTAAGTTCTTCAATGACATAACAGTTCCATAACTGCAAAAAATGGAAAAAAATTTCATTTATGATGACCAAAAACAGTATCCTCTACTTCTCAATGCTTATTGTTTTCCTCACATGCCCTTTGTATTTCAAAATCATGTTGATTTCCATGTAAAACAAAATTAGACTTGCATTTTTTCATCCTAAATCCATCTGCAAAATACCATCAAGCATATTTGAGATTGAGTGCAGGACTATTAGTCCACAACATGTGAATGTTAAATTATCAAATCTTGTGGCAAATATTGATTTAAAACTTCATAATCATCATGTTTTAAAATGTGAACAATTGGGCATGCTGATTTGAATCAAGCAGAAACATATGGTTCAAGTAAAACATTGTTCTTCAACAATCCTAACATACTATATTTTGTCTATTTTAGCCTATTTTGTCTTATTGACTATTTTAGCCTATTTTGTCTTTAAGTCATTCTATGATTCCCTTTTCTACATTAGATGATTATTTTACCCCTTGCTTTGTATGGGAACCTCTAATATTATGTGCGGAAATTGAACTCAGTATACTTGTTTTTCTTTTATGTACTTTCAGATTGCGGCTTGTATTTGTTACGTTTTGTTTCTTTTGTCATGTCGAAACTCAGCAGACTTGGAGCACAGAATGACCTGGAGGTTGGACTATAAATTATGCTTTGCATCAATTCTGCTTCAAGCCAATGAGTTTGCCTACAAGTTTGTGTAGTCTCTTTGCAATGCAAATCGTGGGCAGAAAAACTATTGTCAGTACTACTAATTTTCTTTTTAACGAGCAGCTGGAATCAGTGATATTGCTAGTATCCTGGGGAAGGCAATGTATATAATGAGTTTGGTGCAAAGAAAAGTGGATGCTCCAAGTCCTTCCTGAAAAAAATGATTCGTATTCTTCAAGTAATGAAATAGCAATCAACACAGACCTTGAGCCCAAGAGGTCTATGACCATGACATTGCGTAAGAGGTGGTTGGGTGATCCAGTCCCCACCAATGATGCTTGTAAAGGAGTATGTAATATTGTTGTTTTTTAGTACGTAAACCAATAAAAGAGAGGGGAAGCAAACTGGTTCATAGATAGGTCATGGTGATCAAAATAGCTAAATAGCTAAATATTGACATTTAAAATAGCTCAAACAAACCCTTTTTTGGTGGTTTCAGCCATTTTGTTTTATTCGTTTAGCTTTTTTGTGTGGATATACAAATGAAATCTTATGGTTCCTAACTACTCCATATATTTGCAACAAAAATAATACTAATAATAATCTATATGAACTGTTTTGGGCGACAAATTTATCAATTTGAGGTTGATTACCCACGAATAGAGAACACAACATGTCCTCGAGTGCTGAAACTTTTTATGGAGAAAACAAAACAAACTAATCCCTATTGACGTATACCATGTCACCCAAAAAAAATGTCACAACCTTTGTATACCTAAAATAAAACTATAAATAACAACTCTCATGATTTTCTCATCTTAATTACATCAAAGCTGTCATAATTATTTTAAAATTCACACATGGAGTGTACACATACCTTAACTCTTTAAGTGCACGTATGTGTATGCCTTCATCCACACTTTTAAAACTTGTATATATAATTGCAAAAGTGGATATATTTGTAGAAACTGTAGAAGATTGTCAGAAGATATGAACTCAAAAGTCCTTATAATTATTGTTGTTTAGACTTTCTGTATTCAATGTATTTATTATATTAGGATTTTTTTTTTTCTAGCTTTTGGAAAAACAAAAAAGCCTACGGTTAGACTTGATGACTTTTTTGTTTGTATATGTAAGATGTAGTCTATAAATTGGCTTTCAAGCCAACATAATATACAATGTAAATTCTCTCCATCTTTGTTTGCCTACTTCGTTTCTAACTTCTAACTTCTCTTAACATCATAACTCTATCATAATTCCATAATAAAAATAGTAAAAAGCTCCTGTCCTTTTTGTTTTGTAATTGGTATTAGAGTTTGGTGAAAAATTGTTGTAAGCAAGATCCAGCTATGTAAGTATTTCTCTTTACGTCTAAATTTTTGATATATATAAATGTGTATGGTGTGCCTTATTTTATAAAAATTAAAAAAAATAAAATAATGTCAAGTTTAGTCTTTAATTGTGCATTTATATCTTCATAATTATTTTTTTCATTTATAATTATTGTAAAACTTATATGCTTAGTGTATGTCAAAACTCATACACTCATTAAGATCTTTTGACTATTGGTCATAATTAAGTCTTTAAGTTCATAAAAAGAGATTTTAGACATTGGATAAATATACTAGGAGGGTCTTAAGTACTAACAATAATCTATAACAACAATTAATCCTGAAGATATAATATGCTTTGAAAATACAAAAAATAATGTTAATAATAAATATGACCAAAGTTTGCATATTACTAAAAGGTCTGCAAATATAAATAGTATTTGTTCTAGTTTAAATAATATTACAAATATTATGTGTTCTTAGTTTTCTAAATTAGATAAAAAACAAAAAATAAATCAACATTATGTAAAAATCAAATTTGAGTCTATAGAATCTAAAATAGACAATTTGAATTCTATAATAAATATTGACTTAAACAAAGAAGCAAAAAACTAAATAAACAATTTGATGACAAAATTAAAAATTATATTCTTTATAAACAATAATGGAATAAATAATCTACGACTATTCCTAGACTATTTTATGGTACAAAAGATATTATAGTACTTTAAACCAATACGACTAAATATAAAAATATTGTTAAAATATTAGATTATTGGAAAAAAAATTATATAAAGACCCAGATTTAAGTATTAATGAAAGAAATAAGCTACTAAACCAGATAAGATAAATTTATCTCACTTTCTAAGACATAATAGTTATCCAAGTGTTGGCACTCTCAATTCTTACACATGCATAATATAACACACGTCACATAATTTACCTCAAAATCTTGCAGTACCTTCACTTTGTTGGCTAACAATACAATCACCAATTGAAGCCCCACCATTAATAAGGGCGGACACAAATATGAGCATACACCAAGATCCATAAATGGGTAGGTCCAAGAAATGCATATTCATGAGTAATGCTAAGAACCTCAAATATTTTACCAATATTTTCACCAAATGTCTCGTATAAATGTAAAACTCACAGAGTGAAACAAACCAAACAAGCCCTTAGAATCCCTAACATTTTTCTATTCATATAACACTACTTGTATTACTACTACCAGGTACCTAACATTTTGCATTCCCCAGCACACCAATGAACATAGATAGCATCTAAAAAGAATAAGTCTGGGAATACAAACCAATCAAAGAACACAACCCACTCTCATGGGTTATAGTGTAATTGATTTCTGTGTGTGAGTAGAATAACTAATCTAAAATACACAAACCAATCAATCAAAGAACACAACCCACTCACATGGGTTATAGTGTAATTGATTTCTATGCAAGTAGAATAACTGATCTAAAATACACAGGAATCGCAACATTAACATGTTCTATATTCTATATAAGATGCTATGCAATAAATTTTAATAGAAGCAAGAAGGAAGAGAATCTACATTACCAGATAAAAGCATGCCAAATTTGTAGCAAAGAAGCTTACAATATTATGAAATCAACACATCATACAACATTATACAGAGACGGGGAAATAGTGCATAAAAGTACTCAAACTAACTGGTCTATGCAAAAAATTCTCTCAATCATTCATACAAAAAGTATCATCAAAATACATCATCAAACCATCATCCAACTCCATCAATCCCAGCAATAATTTGGTTCCATCTTGCCAATAGCATCAGTATCCAGCTTTGACAAAACAGTGGCACTGAAAAAACACAGCAATTCAAAACAAATCAAAGCCATGATTATCTATAAATAGAAGCAACACAAACATGACAGCATAAAAAATGACTACTGACTGGTTCAACTATTGCATGAAAAAATGAAAAAACCGACAACTATTCATTGTTAGCAGTACATGCATGCTCCCACGTATAAAACTCCAGACATGAAAATTTTCATCAGGTAGGTAAACCTCATACTCGTAAAAGACTAATGGGCCTAGAATTCTATCCTAACCAGAGTATAAGCTAGAGTAGAAGAAATTTTTTAATTTTCTAGATCCTAGCTCAAGTCTTTACATGAATTTCTTTTGCCTCTTTCCATTTGCAACTCTATGAAAAAGTTCAGAATTGTTATCCCCTTCTTTTAGCCATTTATTTTTGCTTTTTGACTCCAAGAGATTGCTTCCCTCTCTCTTACTTTTTCATCTTTTCCTACTGAAACCATCCTTAAAGAGGATACTAACATAACAGAAAAATGTGTGGCTTTCAACAAATTTTTCTTGGAGGGGCAACGAATTGGCGAGCTCGCACATTATTTTATTTATTTATTTTTTGGTTTGGCACTGGAGTCTCTGGATCAAATCCCGACTAATCCCCAAAGGTGCACAGGCCCTTAACAAGGAGTTTCCCACAAGTACACCTCGGTTAATGCAAGGGTTTTTCCCTAGTCCAATGGGCTTAAGGAATCGTTAGCACATAAAGAGGTTTCAATCCTTGAACCTTGGAGAGAGCACACTCCCAAGACCTAAGGCCTTGCCACCAGGCCAACCCCTTGGGGTTGCGAGCTCACACATTTATCATTCTTGATAGGTGAAGCAATAGTCAGTGCAGAAAACATATAAACATGGAAGCATGCAACTAATCTGTAATAACATCTGACATTAAATATGATTACTATCGCACAGAATCTGCACATGCATTGAAATAACAGAAAAACTCAATTTAAACTCACCATTCATGTATCATAATCTATAGAGCCGTCTCTAAGATAACAAGCAACTTTAGTCTCGTCGCCTGGTCCGTCCATCGTCCCGCTTGTCAATGTCATGCCTTCGTCCCTCACCTGACCGAGAATATTCATATTTTACTCTCTTTGAGGAATCAACATGTCTAACCCTCTCATCTCTCCCACTTTCACGCTCTTCTTCCTCCTCCCTTCCACGTCTTCTACTTCCATGCCGACACTGCTCCTCATCTATCCTATTCTTTCTATAAATCTCCTCTTCATCTCTTCTATGCTTGATTCCCCTGCTCTCATCCTCATCCCTGCTGTATCTCCTGCCCCTTTGTTGCTCTTCATTATCCCGATCACTTCTTCTGCTCTCATGACGTAGTTGCTCCCTGCTATGAGTTATGCCACCACGTTCAATATTGTCATCCCCATCCCCTCCTCCAGACCTGTTCAACCTTGAATAAGCATCTGACTTCTGGTCATCCTTGATCCTGTGAGATCTAGTATATGCTTCGGGTTCCTTCTGCTGTTCCCTACTATGATCTGCCACCTTACCTACATTTCGGCTTCTAGACTTTGCTTCGGGCTGCCCATCCTGGTTTCCATCATCGACCTTCCTCTTGGCCCTCATCATTTCTTGACTTCCATAACCAGGACCCTCCAAAGTATCCTCCTTTGACTGGTACAGCTCCTCCAACTTCCTGAACATGTCCAACCCATCACCACCCTTTTGAGGAGCACTTGCTTCTTTTTTCCTGTCGTCATTTCCAATTACAGTAGATCTAAAACTCCTCCCATCTAGACTAGATCGATGTCCACTTTGACCGCCTCTGCTACTAGAATCACCTCCACGACCATTTCTGCTCTTCTCCAATGACTTGGAATTGTCCCTCTTCCCATGTTTGTAATCAGTTGAATCACTGTCAGAAACACTCTTGCTGTCTCTCCCATGGGAAGTATCGCTCTTATGGTCATCATAGTCATCCTTATCAGTATCGTGCCTTCCACTTCTCCGAGTCTTCTCCATTTTCTTATCAGAATCATCATCATAAGTGTCATGACGACGCCTTGTACTCTTCTCCACAATTTCCTTTTTCAGTTTTCGGGCTTTGTCAGAATCAGAGTCACTTGCCACAACATACGTTCTGCTACTTTTCTCACACCTCTCATCAATTTTCCTGCGATCATCCAAAACAGAGACCTCTTTCTCTATCCTGTGACTACCATTCTGCTTATTCCTTTTTCTCTCCACTTGATTTCTTTTATTTCCCTCACCACTATCTCTATCAGAGTCATACTCAGGATCATCTTGCCTGTTCGATTTTAGTGGCTTCCCCTTTAGAGACTTATGCTTAAAGCCTTCATCTAAAAAAGAATCATCATTACCTAAGTCATGCCTCTTATGAGGTTTCTCATATTTCTCACCATCAGCCTCAGAATCAACACTGTCATGTCTTCTACTTCTGTTGTCATGCCTCTTGTGAGTTCTCTCATATTTCTCATCATCAGGCTGAGAATCATTGATGTCATGTCTTCGACTTTTGTTCTCATGCCTCTTATGAGTTTTCTCATATTTCTCATCATCAGCCTCAGAATCATCGCTGTCATGTCTTCGACTTTTGTTCTCATGCCTCTTATGAGTTCTCTCATATTTCTCATCATCAGGTTCAGAATCATCGCTATCACGTCTTCGACTTTTGTTGTCATGCCTCTTATGGGTTTTCTCATAATCATCAGCCTCAGAATCGTCACTCACATGTCTTCTACTTTTGTTGTCATGCCCCTTACGAGGTTTCTCATATTTCTCTTCATCAGCCTCAGAATCATCGCTCTCATGTCTTCTACTTTTGTTGTCATGCCTCTTATGAGGTTTCTCATATTTCTCATCATCAGGCTCAGAATCATCACTGTCACGTCTTCTACTTTTGTTGTCATGCTTCTTACGAGGTTTCTCATATTTCTCATCATCAGGCTTAGAATCATCACTGTCATGTCGTCTACTTTTGACGTCATGCCCCTTCCGAGTTATCTCATATTTCTCACCATCAGGTTCAGAATCGCTGTCATGTCTTCTACTTTTCTTGTCATGCCTCGTACGCATTTTCTCATACTCCTCATCATCGGAATAGGAATCGGAATCATCACTGTAATGTCTTCTACTTTTATTGTCCTTTCTTGATGATTGTTGTCTCTTCTTCCTAACATCAATATCAGAATCACTCTCCTGATTACTTTTATGATGCTTCTTCCTGATCCCCTTTACATGCTTTTCAATGCTATCTGTATCAGAAGAATCAGTCACTCTCCCACTTTCTTTGCCCTCTTGAACCTTGTGTTTTCTTAACCCATCAGTCTCATCTCTTCCACCTTCATTATTCCTTTTTTTCTCAGCCTTGGTCACATCATCCTTGTCATCTTTAGCATCATTTTTGTGCGACTTGCTATCATCATTAAGACCTTCTTTTTGGTTGTCTATTACTCCATCATCATCACCACTCTCTACAAAATTTGACACCTGGTCGTTCTTTTTTTGACTGTCAACTACAGAGGTGCTTATCCCAAGAGCAGCTCTTAATGTTTCCAGCTTCTTCTCCTTCCGAGCAGCAATCTGGTGTGTCTGTGTATCTGAAACCCTGAGCAAGCCACCAAAATAACTTGTTACATCACCACTTCATAACCAAAAAATAAAGAACAGAATGCTAGCTAACAACTGCATCCGATTTACAGCACATGAATGAAAAATGGATACTTGCTTATCATTTTAAGCTTGACATGAGAAAAGTAAGAAAGCAAATCCATCACTATCCCAATTACTTAAAACACAGCTACATTTCCTGAAAGACTAATAATAAAAAAGAAAATACCCAAAAAGACTGCTATGCCATTAATGATTTGAAATAGAAAGAAATGGTCATTTCAACCACCAAGACAGTAGTTTGTTCCTCTCTTCAAACAATCTCTCAGGTGACCTAACAGCGCATACACTGTTGTTAAATAAAATTTTCTTCTTTCTTCTTTTTTTCTTTTTTCATTTTTTATCAATAAAGCACTGTAAAATTATTAATCGCTATTATTAAGGGGGGGGGGGGGGGCGCGGGGAACCACATGGAAGGTATCTAGGAAGAGAAGTATAATCTCCCAATTAGTAAATCCTCAAAATGAAATGCATGCCTCCAAATAGCTCTCAATGAATAACACAAAGCACTTTGCTATCTAAAATTGCAACAGGAGCAGCTATTTAGATTAGCCTCCATGCACAAATTACTTTCCTGACCAGTCTTGGCAAGTGCCAAGCAGCAAAAGTTGTTCATACTATCATTTATTTTATCAAATGAACATATCTACTATAAATTTCCTAATAATGGAAACACTTCAATCCATTAATTCCAATCTAAAAGGAATTTGAAATGGACATAAAGAAAAGAGTAAAGAATTGAGGTGAAAGTTGTTCATACTATCATTTATTTTTTCAAATGAAAATATCTGTGATAATTTTCCTAATACTCTCAACCAGTGTTATTAAAGTCGATAGGCGCACCAAGGCGCCAAGGTCTCTTGGGGCCTAGGCTCAAGGCGCAAGGCGAGGCGCAAGCTTCATCGAAGTGAGGCACACCTTGTACGGAAAAAAATATATAATTTAATATAAGTAAATAATTTAGGGATCAACATAAACAAAATGAAATGTTAAATATTTAGTATTTTTTGAAGATTAGGAATTAGGACTAATTTTTTTTCTATCATTGATTTGGGGTTGAATGCCCAATGTATTAGCATCTATAATAAGAGTAGGAATCTTCTGTAGCTGCACCATATTAAATCAATGGTTAGATTTTAAACAAAACCAATTAAAGCAACAACAAAAAAAGTCCTCAAGACGCAAGCCTTGGACCCTTATCACAGTTGTTTGGCCTGAAATACTACAAGGCACAAACCTTGGGCTTGGATGGGACTTAGACCTAGGCGCGCCTTATTGAAGTCGCCTGGCCTAGAACACTACAAGGCGCAAATCTTGGGTCTAGGTGGGACTTGGGCCTAGGCGCACGCCTAGGTTTGCCTTTAATAACACTGCTCTCAACATGACAAACAAGTGTTCTTAAAGAATTCCAGATTTGCTAACCACTGTAGAGTAAAAGAAAAGTACTAATATGGATGAAAGCAACGCTATGTGACTACAATCCATCAAGTTTTGCCTTCCTTGTCAGTTAAGTGTTCGGCCTTTTGATTGATTCTCTCTCTCTCTCTCCTTGACCACATAACGAAAAAATAATAAAAATAAAAGATAAGGAAAAACCAAACAAAAGATGCAGGATAGAATTACAAGAAAACACTTGGGCATATCTTAGAAAAAATAATCATGCATAAACTAAACCAATCATACTGGAGAAAAAAACTACACACCACTGCAATCCAATCAGTTATCATGGATGTATAATTCTCATGAGAAGGTAAGAATGTCCAGCCAACTAAAACAAAACTTCAACAACATCAATCACTATTCACCTCAACCAAATTACACAGTTAAAAATTGTTAAAGATATTCAGATTGCATGACCAAAACATCCATCAGCTTGCCGCCTTTATGCCACATTTCATCAAACAATTTACAAATAAATTATTGCATAATCAAGGACACCAAAAATCAAATGATTCATTCCATTCTTGCCCATGGCAATAAACAGCAAAGCAACATATAAATATTGGTAATGTCAATACCATCCATATAAGGGCCCATAAGGATGGCCAGAGTTAATTCAGGGAAACCTGTAAGATAGTCAGTCAGTCTCTTTTTGCTTGGGGTTCTATTTTCAGTATACAAAACTTTGCTCCATTGGAAGGGCAAACATTTTTTTTTTATTGAGAAATGAACTATGATATTGTAAATTAAACAAAATGGGAAGATGCTGATACATTCTGTTTTTTGTTGGTTGAAAGCTGTTAGTTCAAATTGGACACTGAAGACAGCGGCATTTCTATTGAAAAGGGAGCTAAATTGAACCAAAATGCTACCAAAAGTTAATTGATAAAGTAATAAAATATACACACAAGTAGGTGATAGAGAATTTACTTATCATCCACAGAATTTGGGGCAGCTTCACCGGCGGCTTCCAAATTCCTCCTGGCCTCTGCGAGCTTCTCAGCAATCTCGGCATCTGTGTAGCCCTGATCAACGAGCTTGTCTTCAAGGATAACAAGCTTGAGCTCAATCTGCCTCTTGCGGTCATGCTCAAGGATGTCCTGATTCGGCTTCTTGGTGACACCAGCGGTGCCCTGACCGGCCTCAAACCCCTTCCCGGAGTTGTCAACCACCACCTTCCCGCTCCTCGGCTTCAAGAAGAACTTGTTGTTCTGTATGTAACCGTTCGTCCCCGAACCCCTCGGGGTCTGCAATCCAATTCCGTTGTACATCTCGCTGCGAAATCAATAACGATTAGCAGAGAGAAGCAAACCCTAACTACAAGAAATTGAAAAACCCTAACCCTAGCGGCTTTATGTTTGGTTTCTGTCTCTAATTTGATTCGGAAAAATGTTGAATCGATCAATCGATCTCAGAAAATATTGACAAATAAATTTCAAAAGCGAAAGCCAACGAAGCGTTAATCAGAGAATATTTACCAGATCAGATCAGATCAGAGAATATTTAACAGAACTTCGCAGAGAGTCCGCCAAACCCCGAAGAGAGAGAGAGAGAGAGAGAGAGAGGATAAACTTAACGGGTTTTGAGTTAAGATGGGTTCGTCAAATCAAATGGTTCATTTTAGATATTTACGAGCTGAAGTGTCAATAAAGTTTTGAAATTATTAAAGTAGAAATCAAAACTAATGCCTGGGCTGGCCTGCCGGCCAACAGCCTAGGTCCGAGACTTATCCAACGGGCTTGAGCTAAATGGGTCCAACTCTCACAAACCCATGGACTTAGTCCAATTAAATCTTATATTTTTTATTTTTTAATTTTTTATCAACTTTTTTTTTTTTTTTATCTGATTTGATCTGATAGAACCTTTGTCTGATTTGGCCTGGTAGAACCCTCATTGGATATAATTTGATGGAACCTTTGTTTGACTTAATTTGGCAAGACTTATGCTTGGATTGGTCGATGAGACCCTCTATCTAATCTGATTTTGTAAAAGGGGGTTAAGAATCGTCTATGAATAAATGGCCAAATTATTCTCGGCAGAAAAACTGATAGACCCAAAACTTGAATCCGTTTGGAGTACTTGACTTATTTGGAAAACCTTTTGTGGCCTATCAACAGACCGATCTAACCATGAACACTATGAAGAACCGTCATGACCCAAACCCGCCCCTATGGGTTTAGCACCGTAACTGGCCAGTAATCCCTGAATTGATGGGAAAGTACCGTGAAAGGAATAAAAAAAAAAAAGTTACATATATATATATTCACTAAATTGGACAGTAATATTGGGCTCGTGGGGGTCCACCACGGGTCTCGTTTTGATAATCCGAACCGTTCAATGTGTATAACTCATCCAGTATTATATGTCTGTAAAAATTCATATTGATCAGATATCGCTAACTACATGATCAAATTAGTTTTGTATAAAAAAATAGATGGTGTTATAGTTAACGGTTGACAAAAAAACTAATCCGATCACATAGCTATAGATATCCGATCAACATGATTTTTTACAACATATAATACTCGACAAACTGTACACATTGAACGGTTCCAATTAGCAAAACGAGACCCGTGGTAAGCCCCCACTGGCCAAAAAGTACCGTCCAAATGGTTGCCCGAAAAGGAGGTAACCATTTCCTATTACACCATTTTACAAACCTTGCTGCCACCGTACAGCCTACACTATCAAAACTTTTCCTATACACTAATTTATACAATTTTTTAATACAAATTTTTTCGTAAAAAGTCAAAAAATTAATCCAAATATTCATATTTTTTTCCTCAACTTTTTTAGTTCAAAAAGACAAAAAATACATTTATTTAGGATATCCCAAACAACCCTTAAAACTTCAAATTCATGCCCAGCCCAACTCAACTCAAATCTTATTTTTGGCAAGGTCGAGTTGACTAGAGTATTGGGCCAAGTAAAAATTCATAAGATCAGACAAGTTTGGATTGTGTGGCAAGTATTTAGATTAAGGGTTGGTTTGGGAAATTCAAAATAAGTGTATTTTTTGACTTTTTATAATAAAAATATATATAGAAAAGTAGAAAAAGTGGTTAAAAAATAGAGAGAATATATTGATTAATATAACCTAAATAAGTGTATATACAAAAAAAAAATACACTTTTTAAGGTTAACCTAAACAAGCACTAAATGATCAACTTCAATTAAAACCAATTTAAGAAATTTTAGTGACAATTTTACAAACTTAAATTCAATTGAGACTTTAAATAAAGCTTAAACATGTTCTCAAAAGATATTCAATAGTTCAAGATGTGTTTGAAAGGGTTCTCTTCATTCAAATAACCTCACCACTTGAGTCCATATGTTGTGAATTCAACATTAGTTTCTAAGTTGTGTTGTGTTTTGGAAATGTTAATATTGATGATAGTATTTAATTTGAGTCCATCCTGAATTGGATCCTTTTTTTTTTCCAAGCTAAGGTTCATGTTAAATGTCAAAAGTCTTTCTTCTTTAGGTGATTGGTTGACTTTACTCTTCGCAATTGTGATTTACAATCAAGTGCGTATTAAACAGCTCCAAGCAAATTAATTCTAATTTTCACATCAAAATACAACCAACATTACAACCAGAGGTCTTGCCCTCCACCTGTTTGACAAAATGCCTGAGTGAACTCTGCTACTAAGAAGCCATAAGATGATTAAGGAGAAAGAGAGAGAGAGACAGAGGGACAACGAGAGAGACAAAGAGGGCAACAAGCTATCAATGAAGAAGGGCAAACTAGCTAAGACCAAATTAGCGAAGAGTAAATCAAAATGTAAATCTGCTAAGTGTAAATCAACCAAGGTCTCCTTGCAGGAGTTTGATAATCAAGTGGATGCTCAAATATCTACCGATGAGATACCTGCTGTATCCCCCGCAGGTCTACACGCATCCGAGGAGCCCCCAAATTTCTCATATTTGGAGATTTTGTGGGACCATGGCAAGGGCCCTCGAATGAAAACAAAAAGGGGTTTAAGGGATGTGGAATCGGAGGATAGCTCAATCGAGTGTGATGGTGTCGATCTATGTTTGTGTGGAAATCTTGGTACACCACGGTTGCAATTGAATGTGGAAATGCAAGCCTCAACTGAGCAATCATCAAAGCAGCATCAAACACCTAATGCATGGAACACACCAACTAGAGTGCTAACTGATCTTGAGCAATGGCCAAAATTGGCTATTGTTTCCCTACTGTCGGCAAATGAAATGATAATGACAAATAAACTTGGCTCACCTAGTGTTGATCAAAGGAGATAAGTAATTGGCACCAAGCAACAGAAAAGTGTTGAAAATGTGCAAGCTTGTAGAAATGAGGATTTGGTTGAACTACATATGGAAGACACACAATCTGGCAAGGGTGAATGTCGTGATGGTGATACAACTGCTATATCAGGTAAGCCTCTACAAGCTTGGAGCTCTTTACTTAAAGAAGAGATTAATAAGGTGTCAAAAATGAAGTATAAAATAGGTGCCCATAAGATTGAGAACCTAGTAGATGGCATGTACAATGTCCTTATAGAGATCTCAAAAAAAGGCTTTTCTCATTAGGAAAATGCCTTGGTTGGATACTTTATTGATAAAAGACTCTCTTTCCATTATGTAAAAACTTGGGCAGAGAAACTTTGGGGAAATTTGCTTGAAGATGTTGTCTCCATTGATAATGGGTTTTTTATTTTTAAAGTACAAAGTGAAGAGGCTATAGACAATATTTTAGAAGATGGCCCCTATTACGTTAGGGCTAGATTGATTGTTCTTAAAAAATGGCAACCTGGACTAAAACTAACAAAGTGTGAATTTTCAAGTGTGCCGTTGTGGGTGAAGTTGTATAATGTTCCTTTGGAGCTTTGGACTGAAGAAGGCTTGGGTTACATTGCTAGCATCATGGGAACTCCTCTTTATTTGAATGAGCCTACGTTCAAGAGAAGCAGACTTACGTTTGCGAGAATATGTATTGAAGTGCCAGCAAATAAAGAGATTCCTAAGTCTTTCAAAATAAATCTTGGTTATGGTGACCCATATGAGATTCAAGTTGAGGTTCCATGGAAGCCTCAAAGGTGTGATGTTTGTAAGACTTTTGGTCATACCACTAATTTGTGCCCTCAGAAGCCAAAGACTTTGAGCCCTCCATCTTTCGAACAAGAGTGGAGAGTCAAGGAGACTAACATACAAGTTCCAACTAAGTGGGAAGTGGTGAAGAAAAAAGGGAGAGATGAAGGGCAAGGTTCAACAACAGTGATAAACAAAGAGGGAGAGACGCAATGTTTCACCCCATCAACATCTAATGCTTTTGATGTCCTTGAATCATGTGATATGGGAGAGTTAGGGAATGGAGAATTAAATCAAGAGTTGTTGTGTCAAACGAAGAGCCTAAAAAGTAGAGGGAGTCCATCTCCAAGTGATCCCATTAATGGAGAGACTACAAAGGAAGATAACAGAAGAAAACTCAAAGCGAAACTTCATTACTTGAAGAGTGCTAGAGGGAAATTTTGAATCCTTTGTTGTGTATGTTGTGTTTGTTATCTATAGGCTTAGTTTGTTTCTTTTGAGGGACTAGTTTGTTTTTGTTTATGTTTATTCTCCCTACAAAAGATGTGTATTGAACTCCATTGTATATCTTTCTTTTTTGGTTATAATATGACTTGCTTATCCAAAAAGAAAAAAAAAAAATACAACCAACAAAGCATTGATACTCTCCTCTTTTAGATTTTCAAATTTCCCACTTGACATAGTTTTATTGAATCTACTACAACTTAGACAATAATGCATATCATCAACAACAAATATTACCAACAATAAAGACATAGTAAAAATAACGCTCAATTAGTACATATTAATGTGTGTTTGAGAGGAAAAAAATTAGATACTGTAACGACCCCAAAATATGTATAAGAAGTCATCCTTATTTAACTATGGGATAATGTGTTTTAATTTAATTATATCTATTGGAATTGAAGAATTATCTGTTGAGTTATGACTTTAAAACTGAAATTGACGACCTTTGTGGGTTCAAAAATCAAAATTGAGTACTTGTATATGTTAATGGGAATTTTTAGAACTACTTGGGAAAATTAATTGGAAATTTAATTCGTCTGATTCATTAATGCATGTTTGGGTAGCTAACTTTGTGCTGCAAATTGAGAGCTTTAGACACTTCAGAAACCAGAACAGGGGTTATATTTATGGTCAGCATAATTTTTAGAGTCATCTGAAAATTTTAATTGAAATTTAATTTTACGCGATTCGTAAGGGCGTGTTTGACCCTCATTATTTGTGATAAAGCTTTATATAATTAAATATATAGGTGTATATGAGTAGGACTCATCTTTTGGAGCTCAAAAATATCTAAGAAGAGAGGAAGACATGTGAGAAAGAGAATTCTAGAGAGAACTCAAGGAGAAGAAGAGAGAAAGAGAGACAAGCTTCTCAAATCCATGGGGGTTTGAAGAAATTGAAGAAAAAAAGAAAGAAGATCAACCATGGAAGCTTGGGGAAATTGAAGAGAACAAAAAGAAAGACAAAGATTGAGCTAAGGTATGACCATCTATCTTGAATGTTTAAAGCATCAATTACATGAAATCAACGATTGATATGGAAGATGTGAACTTTGAACCCCAACTATGGCTATATTATGCTTTTGTGCTTGGGAATTGAGTAATATTTTGAGTTATGATGTTTGATGGAGATTAATAATGTGAAATTGGTCATGTATTAAAGGGTTTTCGGCTTTGATTTACATGGAATTGAGGTTTGATTTTGAAAATGAGAAGTCCTAATTTTTCAACCATTTTCGAACTGCAAATTGCCCAGGGCCGTACGTGCGGCTCTGTTTCCCACACGTGCGGGAGACACTACAAAAAATAACACTTTTGCCGACCAAAAAATTGGTCGCTAAAAGCCCATTTTTAGTCGGCAAAAGTTATCCGCGACCAATTTTTTTGGTCACCAATTGAGGGTCGGCAAAAGTAATTAGCGACCAAAACTTTTGTTAGTTGGGAAAAAATTAGATTTGCCGACTAAATTTTTGGTCGCTAAATATATCATTATTGCGATTAATCCATTTAGTCGCTAAAACACTTTAGTTGCAAAGAGTAATATATTCCCGACCAAACATGTTAGTTGCCAATTGTCACATTCCACGACCAAAAAATTTGGTCGCCAATTATCACATTCCATGACTAAAAAGTTTGGTCACCAATTGTGACATTCAACGACCAAAAATTTTGGTCGCTAATTGTAACATTCCACGACCAAAAATTTTGGTCGCTAATTGTGACATTCTACGACATCTTAGTTTGGTCGCCAAAAAGAATGTTTGCGCCAACATACTACAAAATAAACCTGTAATTCATAATAATCTATCCAATCCATTCAATACAATCTATAATTTACAAAAATCAATCAAACCAACAATTCACCTGAATCATGAACATTCAACAAAATAAATAAATCATTAAATTCTAAACCTGTTTAATTAAAGTTAGCAACTATTACAAATTTTATTCCACAAATAATTCCAAATTACATATTCCTTCAATTAAAAATCCGCTTGTAATCTATATAATCATCCAATTCACATCAATCTAACATATTCCCTAAGTGAAGAGTAGAACTCCTTTCCCAGAGCATCAATAGCTTTCATTGATTGAGCAGAAAGAAAATTCTTTTAGCAGTAGTCATATCTAGCTATGTCTCTTTCAACTTCTTTCCAGCCCTCATAAGCCCGGACAAGAGCAAGGTGATCATTGTAATCACATGAAAATTGTGCTTTTGGTGCTTCTGTTAGCTGCAAAGAGAAACACACAAATCAATTAATGAAACAGATAAGATAAGATACTCAATTTTCCAACAAAAGCTATCTATTAGTGAAACCACAATGCCTTGTTACACGTCACTCTAAATAATCTAGACAAGAGTTACAAGTTAAAAACTAGATAAATTATAGAATGGATTGGGAGGCAAAAAAACACAATTAAGGATATGGTAAAAATAGATAAAGTTGTATCTCTATAGAGAGAGATAAATTATAGAATAAAATGTCCATAGAAAAAGAAAGATAAATTATGGAATAAAAACAAAGATGTATAAATAGGTTTCTTTTATGTGCACAAAGGCATCACCCACTTCACAACCATTTGGTCCCTACACCATCTAACTACAGACTATGGTAAGTCTTAATTCATTCTAATTCTCTCTCATCTTTTTCTCTTTATTCAATTCTGTTATCAACACAAAAACCAAATACAAAATACATATGGATAAGATTTTTAAGTGTTGGGAGAACCTACTTTTAAAAAATCTTATATAAAATTTTGTGATCGGTTTCTGTGTTTCTGGATTTGTTTCTGTGTTACAGACAAAAACAAACACATAATACATATAAATACACAAGAAAACCCATATTATCTGAAGCTCATCCTTGAGCACCAACCCATGATATAAATAGACAATCCATATTATAAATAGCACCAACCCATCTTATAAATAGACAATCCATATTATAAATAGACAACCCATGATATAAATGGCACCAACCCATATTATCTTGCATGTGCCTACATATAAATGGACAAGAAAACCCATCTTATATTCCTAACCCATGATAGATTCTGAAGCTCATCCTTGAGCACCAAAACCCATATTATCTTGATAACTTTTCTAACAATCAGCATTCTTATGGAAATTCGAAATCTAGGCACATGCAAGTGGGAAAAGAGCATGATACCCCTGTTAAAGCCCCAAATTTCAGCAATTAAAAAATTTCTGAAATCCCACTATTGTAACTTCCATTTACCAACACTAAGGAAACCAAAAACATCAAACCAACCACTATGCACTATCTCATCAATGTTCTTTGAAAGGCACCAGAACAAGCCAAGTAGTTGGTAGTTTTTAAACTAAATCTAATCTAATAAAATTGTGCTCAAATATAATTTGAGCAAACTTAAAGTCTTTAATGTGATTAACCGTAGGGCTGAGCAAGGAATCCGTGAAATCCGTAATCCGATCCAGTCCAGTCCAATCCACAAGGTTTGGATTGGTTTTTTGAATCCGTGGTTCGGTTCCGGATTGAAAAATTAAAAATCCATAGTTCATGAATTGGTTCCGGATTGAACCCCACGGTTCCGGATTGGAACCGATCCGGACCATATACAAATAGTCTATATTTTTATTACACACCCTCCTGCATAGTATCTTCTCTTATTTCATATAAAACTTAAATCCAAACCTAAACTTGCATAGTATCTTCTTTATTACTTTTGTTTGCTAGTTTTTAGTATTAATTTGTAATGGTCTAAATACTTATGGTGGAACTAGTTTTTTTATAGTTGTTTAAATTCTAGAACAGTTTGCCGCTATTACGAAAAGACATGTTGCTATTGTAAAAGTAATATGGTGCTATATTTATATTTTTATGAAATTAAAGTGTTATATATATATATTTTTTGTTAGTTAATTATGTAAATTCGTGGTCCTAAGCCGATCCAATCCGTGTTTAAATAGATTGGTTTGGATTGATTCCACAAATTAAATGGATTGGATTGGTTCCAATTTTTTAGGATCCGTAGATAATGGATTGGTCCTAGTTTTACTCCAATCCGATCCAATCTGGACCATACTCACCCCTAATTAACCGACACAAGAATTTTCAGCTTTATCAAATAACCCCGAATATTTGTTGCTATCTAAAATTTTGCATCATTTTTTAATGTGACTAAAGTCTTCCATAAAGTCTTCAATGTGACTAAAGTTTTCAGTGTGTTGATATTTGTATCATTTTTTAAATTTTGCAGGCTGGCAAAGGTCAGACAGGCTTGATGGTATCTGCTTACCTTGTTTATAGTGGCATGTCAGCAGAGGAGGCTCTTCAAGTGTATGCACATAAACGGACCACTAATAATGAAGGAGTAAGTCATGTTATGTATAAAAGGCTATCATGTAGGACTTTGTGAAGTAAATGACAACGAAATGCAATTTAGCAGTTTGCACATTTTCAGTTTCCAAATTGGTTCACTAAGGAACAGGGACGTGTATGGGTCGGTTTGGTTTGGGTGGGCAACTAGCAGAATCAAACCAAAAAACCTTGGGTTGGTTAGGGCTACTTAATATTGAACTATCTATATGTTAATAAATTGAACATATTAAAGGATGGTATTGGATTCATTAGCCAGTCTTGACTTTTGGTAGTTATCAGTATTTTGTTTAGAAGTTCATTGATCTGCATGTATTGGACAGGTCTCAATACCAAGCCAACAGCGTTATGTAGGGTACTGGGAGACTACACTTTCTATTCCTAGGGGAGTTGATCATGGCCCTCCATCTGTGAACTCACCTGAACCATGTAGCAGAGAATTGGTTCGAATTCGACTTTATGACACGGTTAACACTGGCTCTGTCTTCTTTGTGGTCTCAGAGTTATAAGAGGTAAGTCCATCTGTGGTGAATATCATTTTTTTATCAAATATCCCTAAATATGATGTGTGCATTGGAGCATAAAAACAGAACTCAATGTCAGAAGCCTCAAAAAAACACAACCACTCCATAAATTCAACAAGAACAATATTATGGAATTGCAATGCATCAGGGAAACAGAAAAATAGCACAAACCATGACATTAACACACACCTTATCTTCCCAAATACAGAAAAAATTGTGTGAGTGACCAGCATTGAAGGCTTAGACGAAACTCTTGGGTCAGCAAACCAGCGAGATGGAACACTTTTCAACACAATTGTATTAGGCTGCTGTTGCCTCCCGCCTCTTGAATATCCTACAACCAAACAACACATACATACATCCATTATTACTAGTAGTTCTCGCAAAATTATTAAGCATTTAGAAGAAAAAATATTGAGTTAGATTACTGAATCCATTATTGTAGACAGCAAGACCAGTAAGACACCAAATTATGGTGTGGTCACTCTTTATTCCATCACAAACCTCGATTACCAAACGCATTAAGCTTTTCCCACTCTTTCGTCATTCCAAAATCATCTGATTCCGGAACTGAAGCAGTCAATCTAAACTTAACACCTTCAAGATTCAACTCAATCCCGTCGGTCTTACCAACAACCAATCTTCTCCAGCCCAGAAACTTCTTCTCGAGTTCCTTAACATTGTCTTCTCCATCTATACCATGAAGAATTTTCGATCTGGAAAACTTGGATAGAAACCCTAGGTCACGAATGAAGAGAACGCCGTGAGTGACAGGATCATCGCGCTTGCGCTTCTTGAGGTCCTTGAATCTGCGAACGACGATGTCGTCTTCGGGAACGGTGAGGGAGAAGGAGGATTTGAGGAAGTCGGTGAAGGAGCACTTGAGTTGCCACTCGTCGAGGGGCTTGACGGAGTGGTCTGCACAGCGGATAGTGAGGAGGAGCTGAACAGGGAGTGTGTTTTTGAAGAGAGAAATGGGGGGGGGAAACTAATAAAAACACAAAAAGGGGGGGAAAATTAATAGCCAATTTTTTTTTTCATTAGCTACTCAATATTTCAAAATTCTCCCTCTAAAATTTGTGATAAAATAACTTTTCCACCAAAAGATCTCAAAATATTAAAAATTATAGGCCATGAAAACATACTCCTCACCAAATGATATCAAAATATTTAAACTGATTGGTGACGAAAATATATTCCTCACTAATAATTTTATAATTTGTGACAAATTTTTTCCTCACCAAAAGTCTCAAAATTTTAGCACCATCTGAACAAATTTAGACGATTTTTTTTTTTGATGAAATTTAATTTTTTCTCACAAAAAAAGAAGTATTTATTGAAAAAAATAATTTTCCTCACCTTTTACTTTTTATTTTTATTTTTATTATATGTGACAAAATTTATAATTTGTCACAAATTAATCTTATTTAGCGACGAAAATGTGTTTTGTTTTGAAAGAGAGAGAGAGAGATAGGAGAAAAACTGATAAAAACAAAAAAGGGGGAAAAATTAGTTGTCTATTTTTTTTCATTACTGTCCAATATGTCAAAATTCTTTCTCCAAAATTAGTGACAAAATAATTTCTCACCAAAAAGACTCAAAATATTAAAAATTTCAATTCTCGATCGACAACTGATGTGATATTAGATGTTAGATCCTCGTCAATTGATATTCACCGGAGAGAGATGAAAGAGATGAAGAGAAAGAGGGGGGTAAGATGTCGACTATGAGAGACCGATCGACAACGAGAAGAGAGAAAGTGAAGAGGATCGGCGACGAGAAGAGACCCTTGCTGATACTCCCTTTTTCATCGAAGAGAATAATGGAGAGAGAGAGAAAGAGTCTCACCGTCGTTGATAAGAGAGAGTGAGGGGGTCGGTGATGAGAAGCCTCTGGATCGAGAGAGCACAAATGAAGGAGAGATAAGAGAATGAAAAAGATGGAGAGAGAGAGAGAGACCAAGTGGTCTGATGATCCCAAAAAAAATAATTTTTAAGTAATTATTTTTTTCAAACAATAATCTCAAGTGATTTTTATTTTTTTTAATGGTGGAGTGAATTATATATATTTTTAATTTTTAAATTTTAAATTTTTGTTTAGTTAGGTATAATAAATATTTAATTCTTTTTATAAAAAAAATTAAAACTCATAAAAGACAAAAAAAAAAAAAACGAGTGACGTCGTTTAACAATTGGCGGCCAAATTTTTTTTGTCGCAAAAAAATTTCAATTCCCGCCCCTACATTTCAAATTTCCTTCCCAAACTTTTGGCGACCAAAAGACTAGATTAGTCGCAGAAAAGGTACCTTCGCCGACAAACTTTTTTAGTCGCCAAATCTCAATCAACGATGACTAAAATATTAGTCGCTAAAAGTACTAATTTGGCGACTAAAATATTTTTAGTCACCGAAAATAAGTTTTTTGGCGACCAAAATTTTGGTTGCCAAAAGATAAAAAATAATTTTTTATTTTCCATTCAGCGACTACATTGTTTTAGTAGCTAAAACTCAACATACGGCGACTAAAATATTTTTAGTCGCTAAAAATAAGTCTTTTGACGACCAAAATTTTGGTCGCCAAAAGAAAAAAAAAAAATTATTTTTCATTCGGCGACTACATTGTTTTAGTAGCCAAAACTCAATATACGGTGATTAAAATATTTTTTGTTGCTAAAAATAAGTTTTTGGCAACCAAACTTTTGGTCGCCAATTCCACAACCAACTTATTTTTGATCTTCCGCGACCAACTTATTTTTTGGTCGCCAAAATGTGACCTTCTGCGACCAAATTTGTAGTTGGTCGCCAAAACCATACCACTTTCTACGACCAACTCATTTTTTGGTCGCCAAAATATGACCTTTGCGACCAACTCATATTTGGTCGCCAAAAATAATGATCATTCGCGACTAATTAATACTTGGTCGCCAAAAGGTAACTTTTAGCTACCAACTTTTATATTGGTCGCAGAAAGTGGTCGCTAAAAGTGCAGATTCTTGTAGTGAGACAACTCTGTTCAGCCAACTTTGAATAAGTATATCTTTTGCCTCGGGACTCCGTTTTAAGTGATTCTTGAGCCTAAAATCAATCCCCGGAAGTCTAGTTTCCAATGGCGGTGGTATCACTCCCAAATTATAAATAAATAAATAGTTATGCCCAAATTAGTGACGATTGTTCACTTTTTGTCAACCAATTTTATACCATTTCTTCACCTAAACCATTTCCCATCGATTTCTCCTGTTTTCTGAGACATGGATTATAACTTATTAAGGAATAATGAGCTTGGTACCACCATGGCTAATTGATTGAATGATCAAAGAAAATAAGTAAAGGATTGAGTATAATCTCATACTATGGGTTGTGCACTGTACTTGTAGGTCGAGACGAGGACATCGTCCCATTACCACCGGGAGTCGATCATTGTGAGTAATAGTAGTGTATTGATATGTTTCATTTATGTCTTGTGATTATGATCTATGTATTGTTATTTGTGAATGGCCTGTTCCATTGATATTGTGCTTTGATTCAATTAATGGATATGCTTGAATAATGGCATTGATATGGACCTAAGGTTGTTCTGTCCCTAGTAATAGACGTGGGCTCGAGGCCAGTATGATATGAATTGTTCTGTCCCTATTAATGCAGTGATACATTTGTCTACTGTTAATAGTTACTATTAATGTTCTGTTATCCGCAAGACAACTATGTCAACTTGTAATAAACCATGGGAAAATCTTTGTGCACTATTGAGTAATAGTACTGTAGCAGTATGTTTTACTTACTGTTAATAGTTAATACTGAAGTTCTGTTATCTGCAAGTTAACTATCTGAATTCGTGATGAACAAATGAAACATATGTGTATTGTGGAACAATGATATCTTTGTGTATCTGGAATCATTTTGTTTTGCTAATGATGGGCCCGAGGCCAATCTGTTGATATCTGGGCCTGAGGCCACTCTGTATAATCTGTTAGGCCTGAGACTGCTTTGCAAAATATGTTGGGCTTAAAGCCGTTCTGTATAATCTGTGGGCTTAAAGCCGTTCTGTATAATCTGTGGGCTTAAAACCGTTCTGTATAATCTGTGGACTTAAAGCTGTTCTGTATAATCTGTGGGCTTAAAGTCGTTCTGTATAATCTGTGGGCTTAAAGCCAATCTGTATTATGTCTAGGCTTACATCCGATCTGTATTATATCTGGGCTTATAGTCGTTCTGTATTATATCTGGGCTTACAGCCAATCTGTATTATATTTGAGCTTACAGCCGATCTGTATTATATCTAGGCTTACAGCCGTCCTGTATCATATCTAGTCTTACAGTCACTCTGTATTATATATGGGCTTGAGGCTGTTCTGTGTTACATATGGTTCCGAGGCCGTTTTAAAATATGATTATGTATAAAATCTGTGTACAGTTTGATATACATATTTACATTCTCTAAGTCTATGCTCAATTAATTAACCTCCTTACATTGCTATTATTCACTGAGCCTTGGCTACTCCGTTTTTATGAATATTTCTATAGGTGAGCCGTCGGAGATTGACACTAGAGTTGTACTAAGGTTCGCCTACCTGCCAAGTCACCGGGGTATGTCTCCATGTGGAGGCCTTAATTTGTGATGGAAGTCATATAAATTATTAAGTTTTGTGTAAGAGTGTGTGAGATCTATATGAATTCTGTGATTATATATATAACTCTGGGAATGTATTTAAATGCTTAAATCTAATTTAACCATCATGTATGCACAAGCTTAATGGATGTTGTCTTTTATTGATATTGCTTCCGCTTAAGGCCCCGTATGCGTTTAAATATTATTCTAAAATTCTGTATTGAGGTCTATGTACAGGCCGGTTATGGACCAAACTTTTAGGGGTGTGTTTGGGTCGTGACAGATACACACCTGATTTTTGACATAATACACAAAGTAATTGCCCTCGATACTTGAACCTATAACCTTAAGGGCATGTTTGACTGGGTGGATTAGAGCATGGGATTGGGATTATTAATTCATGGGCCCAATTATCCTAGGTTTGTTTTACCATTTTGGTTTAGGATTATTAATCCAATGGATAATTAATCCAATAAATTTGTAGGATTATTAGTAATGGGGGGTAGGGGTGGGATTATTAATCCAATTGATATTAATCCAATTGGATAGTGAATACTACACTAATTTAATAGGATTATTAATACTTCACTATTAGTCGTGTGAATTAAACATGACCTAAGGTTATTAGGCCAAAATAAATTAATAATACAAATGAGCTAAAAGCCAAGGCTCACTTAATAGAGTTTAATTGAATCTACTACAGCTTAGATAATAATGCATCAACAATAACTATTACCAAGATAAAAGACACGGAAATTATTAATTGTACAGATGAGCTGAAAGTCGAGGCTCAGTGACCACAACAATTTTAACCTTTCGATGTGTTGTCAATCCATACTCTTCTTCCATGTCTACATCTTCGGGCTTCAGGTTATCGGGTAATTTCCAATTAAATCCATGCAACAAGTTAGCCAAAGTCGCTTTAACCAACTTTAGTCCAAGGTTATAGGCCGGGCACATCCTTTTACCCGAACCAAAAGGCAATAGCTCAAAGTGTTGTCCCTTCACATCAATCTGTTTTGTTTTTTTTTTGTTTTTTTTTTTTTTTTTGAGATATATATATTGTTAAACAAAAACAAATTGTCTACGAACCTTTCTGGGTTAAACACTTCAGGTTCGTCCCAGTATTTAGAGTCTCTAGCAATGCCCCATGCATTTATGAAAATAGTTGTTCCTTTAGGAATGTCGTAACTAGCAACATTGCAATCTTCAATGGAATAGTATGGTACAAGCAATGTAGCTGCAGGATGTAACCTCATAGTCTCGTTTGCAATTAAGTTAATGTAAGGAAGTTGTTATGGGATGTCTTTCTCTTCCACCCATCTATCTCTCCCAATGACTCTATCTAGCTCTTCTGTTGCTTTCCTCAAGAATTGTGGTTGTTTTACAAGTTCGAATATTGCCCATTCCACAGTTACTGATGAGGTATCCGTGCCACCAGCTATTGGGTCCTGAAATCAATGAAGAAAGCAAAAGAATTGTCACTAGATAAAATAGAATAAGTACTCTATAAACACAGAAGTCAGTTATGGAACTGAACACAATATATATAGACGAATAAGGTTTTCACAAACAAAACACACTAGAGTATTAGCATCAACTTTGCTATAATAGTCTTGGGGATATATTAGCTAGACAATGTCTAAAAACACTCTTGCATCAGACTAGCTACAGCAAAACAAATTTTGACATTGTTATAGTAAATCATTGATTTTTCGGATTAAAAAAAAAAAAAAACTTTTGCTTTTTGTATTTTGATTGGTTTCTATTTTTATAACATAACTAGGTTGTATGTGGATAGGATGACAAAACCTTATTAGACCGGACAAAAAATGAGACAGTGAACTTCAAAATTAGAATTTTAAATGGAAATGTTACAATGCGTACTCCGTATCGTAAGAAGTTGTAAATTTTTGTGATGAAATAAATAAGTGTAGTTACAGAGAGTGTGTTGTAAGAAAATTCTTAATTACGACTTTTTACAGTTATGTTATTGGTATTGTGATTTTAGTATTTTTTTTTTAAATAAAAAGTTATAATTTTTGTGATAAGAAAAATTATATTATTTTGCGATATGTTAATAAACTTGTATAGTCTAATCATAAAAAGAAATCCCATATACACATTTTTAAGGATCACTACAAGAAAAAACAATTTTGGCGATTAAATTTTTAGCCGCCAAAAGTCCATTTTTAGTCGCCAAAAGT